CCCCCTCCACCAAACTTTACACTTGGCACAATGCAGTCAGGCAAGTACCGTTCTCCTGGCAACCGCCAAACCCAGACACGTCCATCGGATTGCCAGACAGAGAAGCGTGATTGGTCACTCCAGAGAACACGCCTCCACTTCTCTAGAGTCCAGTGGCGGCGTGTGTTACACCACGGCATCCCACGCTTTGCATTGCACTTGGTGATGTGCGGCTTGGATGCAGCTGCTCGGCCATGGAAACGCATTCCATGAATCTCTCCACGCACTGTTGTTGTGCCAATGTGAAGGCCACACCAAGTTTGGAGGTCTGTAGCTATTGACTCTGCAGGCAGTTGGCGACTTATGTGCATTGTGCGCTTCAGCATATGCTGACCCCGCTAATTTTACGTGGCCTACCACTTTGTGGCTGAGTTGCTGTTGTTCCCAGTTGCTTCCACTTTGTTATAATCCCACTAAGAGGTGACCGCGGAATATTTAGTAGCCAGGAAATGTCACGGAACACCTGAATCCAATGATTTTGGGGGGTGCCAATACTTTTGGCAATATAGTGTGTAATATATATATATATATATATATATATAATGTACATAGTATATACAGTATGTATATCCATTGGGGGAGTCACAAAGGAAAGATTTCTCCAAGGGGCATCCCCTTCTACTTGGTTTGAGAACGGATTCCACATTAAAGTCGTTAAATCCTGATGGACTTCTTTATTTTTCCGCCTCACTCAGTATGTATGCACTTGTAGGTCCGGCTCCTCCTGGATGGAATTGGGAGTGCAGGGATTTTCCGTGGCTGGATCTCTTGGGGTAACCTGTGACGACCTTGGCCATGGCGCAGTGTGGGATGCCGGCTGTAGCTCCAGTGTCGGCAGGGTGGATCTCTCGTTCCATGGAGGATCTGGGTGAGTCAACGCTCGCCACTGAGATGTAAAAGAATCAAAAAGAGGACAATGGGTAACGAAAGGTGCCAAGGGTGGCATTGGTTGCTGTGGGCTACACAGGCACTTGAGGACAATGCAGTGTGCATGCTATGTGTTTGTGCCTGATAGCTGTATATCTTCAATGTGAGATCTAAGGCACTGCTCCTTCTGACTGCTAGTCTCAGGAGATTTGGAGATATCACTACTGTGCTGCTCACAGTTCTTGCTGGATGCTCTCACATTAGGAAGCAAAACCCTTTTTCTACCAAGATGATTACCTTCACACAGAGGCACCGCGTAGATCCGGAGGTAGTCAACCTCGGCACTCCAGCTGTGATGAAACTACAAATCCCATGAGACATGAGAAATTTGTAGCTGGAGTGCCCAGGTTGCCGACCCTGGTGAGGTACCATGCCTGATACAAGGCATGGTAAATAAATCATGGGGAAAGATCACCTGCAAGGAGACCCCAGACCATTCTGTTGACTAGCCCTTTACCCTCTGCCTGGCCTTTTTTGGGGGCACGGCTTCCTTTTTAAAGTGTATGTAAAGCCAAGGGTCTAAACCATTCCCTACTTTATCCAGAACTAAAAAATGTTGGCTTTATATGGGCTAGCTAAAGAGTGAGCCATTGACTAAGGAGCTCATGGGTTTAGGAGGACAGCCAGGAAGAGTGAGCCATTGACTAAGGAGTTCATGGGTTTAGGAGGACAGCCGGGCCACAAGCAGTTTCTAGAAGGAGGCCATTGATGGGAGCCTACATAATATTCTTTGTAAATCAATACATTCCCATCAACACATTACCGGCTCATGGACCTGTTTCATCTTTCTTACAGATGGATCTTCAGCATGTTTAAAGGTTCCATGATAGGGCCCATCCGTTCTGCCATTACTT